GGATTTTCTTTTTCGGAACGAAACAATATTAAGTTATTTATTTACTCCAGGGGTCAAGGAAAGGCATCAAACGTAAACACAGGCTAGCAAAACGTTAGTTCTTAGGATCGAGAGGATGTTTTTCTTAATCTTTACTGTTGAAAGTATTCCCTGTGTCCCCCATATTCCCCCATGGACCTCTCCCCGCCCCCCCAGGCCTTCGCCCCCCTATTGTCTGTGTCCACGGTTGATGCGTAGATACATACGAATGCATTGGTTGATCTCTTTTTCAAGCTAACAGTCTTCCAGGCTGGGGAGAAAAATACGGGCTGAGGCGAGTCATCACGATAATTTTGGGAGACGGGATTAAATCTACCTATTAGCGATGGAAGGTGCCCCCTGTTGTGTCACGTGACTGGGTTGCACTGTTTTTCTTGGCAATAAGGCTTTTCAAGGTGTGGGTCCCGGGGACCTGTGAGACGTAAGACGCGGCCCCACGGCTCTTGACGGAGACGATCCCCAGGGGCCCAGAGACCCAGCACAGAGAATAAACACTCTACCTTTTTATTTTTTTTTAAATATATTTTATTGGTTTTTTACAGAGAGGAAGGGAGAGGGATGGAGAGTTAGAAACATCGATGAGAGAGAAACATCGATCAGCTGCCTCCAGCACGTCCGCCACCGGGGATGTGCCCGCAACCAAGGTATATGCCCTCGGCCGGAATCGAACCCGGGACCCTTCAGTCCGCAGGCTGGCGCTCTATCCACTGAGCCACACCGGTCAGGGCGCAGTCTGCCTTTAAAAAAATATTCGTTCATTCATTCATTCATTATTAATCTTTATTAGGTTGCCGGCTTGATCCCCAGTAAGGGGGGGGGGCGTGCAGGAGGCAGCCTGTCCGTGATTCTCTCTCATCCTTGATGCCTCTCTCTCTCTCTCTCCCTCTCCCTTTCTCTCTCAAATAAATAAAAATCTGTATATTTTTTTAAAAATCTACAGCTTTTTTTAAAAATCCCCCCATCGACCCCCTCCAGCCCGTCCCCAGCCCCCACCCCGGGCCCTCACCCCCCCGTTGTCTGTGTGCATGGGTGATGCATCTACGCACGCACGGTTTTTGGTGGCAATCTGCCTCTTTTTACAACGGTTTTTAAAAATCCAAACTAGAGCCCTGGCCAGTGTGGGTCAGTGGATAGAGCGTCGGCCTGCAGACTGAAGGGTCCCGGGTTCGATTCCCGGTCAAGGGCACAGGCCCGGGTTGCAGGCTTGATCCCCAGTGCGGGGGCGTGCAGGAGGCAGCCGGTCCGTGATTCTCTCTCATCCTTGATGCCTCTCTCTCTCTCTCCCTCTCCCTTTCTCTCTCAAATAAATAAAAATCTGTATATTTTTTTAAAAATCTACAGCTTTTTTTAAAAAGCTGATGTTTCTAGCTCTCTCTCTCCCTCTTCCGTTCTCTCTGAAATCAATTTAAAAAAATGATTTAATTTAATTAAGTTAAAAATAATCCAAACTAGAAGACGATAAAGGCAGACTCCTGTATCTAGTCCCAGGCGGTGCTTCGGAAATATTTATTTCCATTCCACGTGTGTCCGACGCGGCGAGCGCCCGCCCCTCCCGGGCGCGGGGGGCCCGAGACTCTCACTGGCCTGGCCGTCAATCTCCCCCCCAAGTCACGTCCGGGGGGCAGCGCAGCCCTAAGTCGGTAATAGCAGTGTCCATAGGTAATAGCGGCCGACTGTCCGTGCGTGCGGCTGTCACAGGCAAGTGGGAACTGCGGACCCTGAAACTGGATTTGTTCCGGGCGCCTGCACTCTCTCCGCGTTTGAAGCGATGAGACTGGGCTCGCATGCCAAGCACGGAGCGCCCCGGAGGTGGCCGCCGTGGCCTGGCTGACCCGGACCGACCGACCGCGGCCCAGGATGCGTCTAGGTGTCTGCAGGGTCGCAGGAGAGGGGGAGAGAGAGGAGCCGGTGAGAATCCTAATGCTACCCACGTCCTTCTTGTAAAACACAAATCGTTATTGATTCCAGAGAGGAAGGGGGAGAGGGAGAGGGAGAGAGAGAAACATCCATGACGAGAGAGAATCACGGACCGGCCGCCTCCTGCACGCCCTACGCTGGGGATGGAGCCTGCACCCCGGGCACGTGCCCTTGACTGGGAATCGAACCCGGGACCCTTCAGTCTGCAGGCCGACGCTCTATCCACTGAGCCACACTGGCCAGGGCATTAATATATTTATTGATTTCAGTGAGGTAGAGAGAGAGAGAGAAACATCGATGAGAGAGAAACATCGATCGGCTGCCTCCTGCACACCCCCCACCGGGGATGTGCCCGCCACCAAGGTACATGCCCCTGACCGGATTTGAACCTGGGCCCCTTCAGTTCGCAGGCCGACGCTCTACCCACTGAGCCACACCGGTCAGGGCTGAAACCGATTTTTTTAAAAAAATCAGTAAGGAGAACGTGAGCTAGGACGTCAGCTTCTGTCCTGAGCGGCCGTCGGCCCGTGCACATGCGTTTCTCGGTGGTGGTGGTGGTTTTAATTAATTTTTGTGTGTGTTTATCTGCGACGTTTTCAGACCCAGAAGCGCCTGTGAGAGCTCTCGTCTGTCAGGGGCTGTGGGAGGAGCAGTCAGCTCCCCAGGGCGTCAGGACGTGGTGGGGGGCACAGGAAATTAACCCCTTCACCGTCGCGGCATCTCCGTCTGCAATGTCCGTGGGTGGGGATCGCTGGCAGCCAGAGCTCCCGTGGGCAGCACAGGTGACCGCCCTGCTCCGGGCTCCGTATGCGCCCCCGACGGGGGGTGTGCGGGGCCTTCGTGCAGCTGAGACAGCCACGGTCTCCCAGCCGCGGTTCTCAACCTGTGGCGGTCGAACGGCCCTTTCGCAGGGGTCGCCTAAGACCCTCCTGCAGATCAGATGTTTCCATGACGATTTGTCACGGTAGCAACATGGCAGTGATGACGTAGCCACGAGAATAATGTTATGGCTGGGTCACCCCGTGAGGAACTGTGTTGAAAGGGCCAGAAGGGTGAGAACCACTGTGTTGGGGTGTCACCTTCACCCCAAAGATCACCTCTGTTCGCTACGCTCCTGCCTGTGTGGGTCGGATACGTTGGGGCGTCCTCAAGGCCGGGAAGATGCTAAGTGAGGTGCCGTGTGTGTGAGATTGTTCTCGATGGCTGCGTGTGCGTGTGTGTGGTTGCACATGTGTGCATGGGCCTCCTTGTACATATGCACACACATGCATGTAACATGTGCATCCCGTGTACACGTGTGCATTTCTGTGCATGCAAACGTGTGTGCAGCTGTTTCTGTGTGTGCATCTCGTGTGTATGTTCACACGTGCATGTACTAGCTATGTACACACATGTGCATGTGTGCGCACGCCTGTGTATTCACTGTGAGCACATGCATGTGTGTGCATGTGTATATTTACATGTGCATGTGCAAGCCATGTGCGTGCATATGCACCTGCATATTCAACTGCCTGTTTGCATGTACGTATGTATGTACACATGCATTCATGTGCTGTGTGTCCACCCGTGCAGGAGTGTGCACCTGTGTGCACGCGTGTGTGCATTCACATGTGCATGCATGAGGTATGTGTACACATGTGCGTGTGTGCATTCAACTGTGTTTGCATGCATGTGCATGTGTGTGCGTATGTGTGTGTGTGTGCACGTCTGCAGTGGTCCGTGCCAGCTGGGAGCCTCACCGTTCCTCCCGTGTCATTTCAGCAGAAACCCAGGCCGTGTGTTTAAAACCCTGGAGGGCAGGAGGGGGCGGAACCGGGAGCTTTTAATCCGTTCGTCACCCGTCTCCGTGAACGTGTACATATGCACACACATGCATGTAAACATGTGCATCCGTGTACACGTGTGCATTTCTGTGCATGCAAACGTGTGTGCAGCTGTGTCTGTGTGTGCATCTCGTGTGTATGTTCACACGTGCATGTACTAGCTATGTACACACATGTGCATGTGTGCGCACGCCTGTGTATTCACTGTGAGCACATGCATGTGTGTGCATGTGTATATTTACATGTGCATGTGCAAGCCATGTGCGTGCATATGCACCTGCATATTCAACTGCCTGTTTGCATGTACGTATGTATGTACACATGCATTCATGTGCTGTGTGTCCACCCGTGCAGGAGTGTGCACCTGTGTGCACGCGTGTGTGCATTCACATGTGCATGCATGAGGTATGTGTACACATGTGCGTGTGTGCATTCAACTGTGTTTGCATGCATGTGCATGTGTGTGCGTATGTGTGTGTGTGTGCACGTCTGCAGTGGTCCGTGCCAGCTGGGAGCCTCACCGTTCCTCCCGTGTCATTTCAGCAGAAACCCAGGCCGTGTGTTTAAAACCCTGGAGGGCAGGAGGGGGCGGAACCGGGAGCTTTTAATCCGTTCGTCACCCGTCTCCGTGAACGTGCCGCGTGCCCGCTGGACACGTCCCGGCTGGACCGTGTATGGGGCTGGAGTCCTCCCCCCTCCCTTCCGGCTCCCTTCCTCCCACCCTCTCTAGCAATAGAAAAAATATTCTTGGGGGAGGATTAGGCAAAAGTAAGTCCATAAACAAATATAAATATTTTAAATAGTAGAAAACAACACAAGTTGTCAACTTAGAAAAAAAGACAGGTTTCAGTTTTCTTTTTTTAAAAAAAAATATATTTTACTGATTTTAGAAAGGGGGAGGGAGGGGGAGAGAGAGAGAGAGAAACATCCATGATGAGAGAGAATCATGGATCGGCCGCCTCCTGCCCGCCCCCCACTGGGGATGGAGGGTACAACCCTGGCCTGTGCCCTTGACCGGGACTCGAACTCATGACCTGGGGCCGGCTCTCTCTCTTTCTAAGCCGTGCTGCTGCCTCTTTTCGCCACACGCTTCGCCCGCGCCCGAACGCCGGGCGCTCCCCTGCCTACGCTCAGGGCCGCGGGGTTCTCTGTGTGTCCTGCTTGGAGGTGACCCTCCTGGCCCTTCCCCGTGACCCCGCCTTCTGCCCTTGTCCACCCCAGGCTCCTCCGTCTGGAAAGCCTTCCTCTTCACGCCCAACTTCGCGCCCGAGGGCGCCAACGGCTGCTTCCCCACCCACGTGTGCTTCTGCC